CGTTCCTCCTTTCTTCCCGCCCACCCTGGGGACTTCCAGCCCACCCGGTCCACCTCCTCCGGGCCCGCCTCTGACCCGGACTCAGGGCCTCCAGTCGCAGTCCATTGGCTTGCAGGATGAACAATCGCGTTGCCGGCAGGGCAGCACCTGCACCAGGTCCTCGCGGTCCATGAACACCGGGTCTGGCGCTGTGCCCAGCACCTCGCGGCTGCGCTCCTGCGTGCCCAGGTCGCACAGACAGCGCCACTTTCCCCATGGGCCAAGGATGGAGTCCTCTGCGTCTAGGGATGGAGGGTCAGGTGTATGTGTTTGGGGGGAACCTATGTACCCCTAGACCCTCCTCTAGGGAGGGAGGAGGCTAAAAACACTGACAGCAACAGTTCGTTGTTGTTGTTTTTAATGTTGTTAAGTTGATTTTAGAGACAGAGGGAGAGGATAGAAACATCGATGTGAGAGAAACATTAATCAGCTGCCTCCTGCATGCCCCCTACTGGGGATGGAGCCCACAACCTGTCTGTGCCATGAGGAAATCAAACTGATAACCTCTGGGTTCATGGGCCGATGCTCAACCACTGAGCCGCACCGGTGGAGCAACAGTTCATGTTTGCAGGGTTGTGCTTCTGTGCCAGGTGCCTCCCATGGATGACCCCATTAGCCCCAGGTGGGGACACTGAGATCTAGAAAGAGCAAGCCACCCTTCCCAGCTCACACAGCCGGGGAGTGACCCAGAGAGACTGCAAACTGACACCTCCCACCTGTGCCAGTTAAAACTGTGGCACCACACCCTTTGTGCCCACCCTCAGACACTGATTCATCTTCAGGGACATGATCATGAGCCTGTCAGGCCGGCACAGTGACACCTGACCAGCAGGTCTGTCAGTTGGTAAATTAAATGACATGATTAGCATAATAACAATACTTAAAGCCCCTGGCACTGGGCTAGCTCGAGGAATAAAAACAAGGAGCGTGATCACTTTTAAAACAACTACAACTTACGGAGAGCACTTACACTCCCCGTTTTACAGGTTTCTTTGACTTCTCCCTAGCCTCTATGCGACAGGCCTTAACTCACCAAACCTCCATCACAGAACACTGGCCTCTTTCATTCTTCTTGCAACAATGATCAACTGTAACCCACCCCACCATTCTTTTGACATTGTTTCTGCAGATGGTGACTGGACTAATATGTAACTTGTAGGTAAACAGCATGTTTGTAAAATAATCCTAGGAACTCTCTCACATTGAATACTCTCTCTCTCTCTTTCTGTCTCTCTCTCTCTTTCCCTCCCTCCCTTCCACTCTCTCTGAAAAGCAATGGAAGAACCTATCTTCAGGTGAGGATTAACAGTAACAACAACGAAAAGAATCAGAGGGACTAACCTCAGAAGATACAGACTCTGGCCTACAGTCATCCCAGCTCTAGGAGGATTGCCGACCTTCAGTGGTAAAACCAGGATCATGCTCACCAGACCATCACTCGACCAGTTTTGAGGTTCTTATCAGAATGGACTCTGCTGGTCTTCCAGGAGAGAACTTTTCAACCCCAGCCCCTTGAGCTCTTTGTCCTGCTTTCCCTCTCCCTCCTTATAAAAACCTCAGCCAGCCCTAACCGGTTTGGCTCAGTGGATAGAACGTAGGCCTGGGGACTGAAGGGTCCCAGGTTCGATTCCGGCCAAGGGCATGTACCTTGGTTGCGGGCATATCCCCAGTGGGGGGTGTGCAAGAGGCAGCTGATCGATGTTTCTAACTCTCTATCCCTCTCTCTTCCTCTCTGTAAAAAAATCAGTAAAATATATTTAAAAAATACTTTTAAAAACCTCAGCCCGCTCTGAGATGTGGAGATGGGCTTTTCAACAAGAGTCCCAAAAAGGACACATATGTAATATCCTTTGTAATACTTTAAGCAATAAAAAAACAAAACAAAAAAACAAGAGTCCCTATCTTCTCAGGTGGCTAACACTTGAATAAACCTCTTTCTTTTTTCACCAGCATCTATCTCACAAATTTGACTTTCGTGGCAGCAGGCAGCAGAATCTGAGTTCCGGTTACATTCCATCAGGCCTTTTGGCCTTGGCACATGCTTTCCCCCTCCCTGGCAATACTCTTCCCCCTAAATCTTTGCAATTTTTGCTTTTCTTGTCACGTCAGCTACATTTATTGATGTTCTTTGTGAACGGTGACACTGAGATGAGCTTGGCGTGCAGGATTAAGTTTAGAGAAGCAGAGGGCTACCGCTGGCTCAGGCGTGTAGCAAAGCCCCCAAAGCCCTCATGGCTTTTATCTGGGGAGTACAGCAAATAACAATGGAGTACAGCAAGTGACAATGATTAACAGGTATGCTTATGAGATCATCAGAGCTAAGTTATACATTACACTATTAATTTCCTATGTTATACAAAGACCCTTTCCACCTGCAGCAGTGTACCCTCCCTTGAACTTTCCATGCCCTCATGGACTATTTATCACCTCAAGGAAATTCTGCCTCTGAACAATAAGTCTTGCTTGCAAGTCTTTGTTCTGACGTGGCCCGCTTGCAGGCCCCCGCCTTTTCTTGGCAAAGCGTCCTCTTCTAGTTAACTTCATTCCACTTGTCCAGCTACAATTTCCCCCTTTTTAGTTTTGCTGCAGGTTTGAATCATGACAGAGAAGATAGCAAGGCTGTTTCATTATAAGGTACAGGGGTGACACATAAACCAGTATGGTTCCAATCACACTTTAACTGTAATCGCCTTTGCAGGCTAACTATTTGGTCCCCTAATAAAGCTACTGATGGTTCAAGATCGGCTAATTGTTCATTGATTTGACTATCAATTTTCCGTTGAGAACTCCATAACCATTCTGAATCTTTGTGCCAGTCTTGAACAAAAGTAGCAGTTTGGACTGATCGCTGTACTGCTACCCCAGCTGCTGCAGCAGTGGCTGTTATTGTAATTAACCCAAGAATTACAGCGATTAGCATGCCAATAAACCTTCTTGACCTCTTCAATATTCCTTACACAATGGCTTGAAGAACTCCAGCTAGAGAACTTTCCTGCCATAGTCGATCCATCTGTACAGGTAACTATACTCCTGTTCTGGCTCGAAATAGATACAAGCTCTCTCTACTGTGATTAAAAGGTACAGAGATATTTACACAAGTTAACAAGGTACAATTAAAATAAGATATTTCCCCAGTACTTTGAGTCCATTGGACTGGTCCTTTCAAGGATTAGTGGTGTTTTTAGCCACACTCAACTAGGCTTTATAACCCAATTGCAAACAATGATTACCCAGTCCCAGGCACACAGGCATTCCAGTAACTCCTGTCGAATAGTTGTACATTCTTGTCCCTTCTTCATCTGGTTTCATAGGCCCACGATCTTTAAAAAGTCCAGGCATCCAATTAGAGTCATTAATTACAGGGCCTTCCATGGTCAGTCACAAGATGTTCCCCTTCCTGGCATAGGCGCTTCACCTGTCCCCATGTGTTTGTCCTCTCTGGGTGGTTAGCTGCGCAAACCGGTCTTCTAGTCCTGCTTCGGCACACTTCCTCTTGCTCACCATGCCTTAACTTGATTCTTTTATCAGGAATCCAGAACTTCTTAGTTCCTGTGGAAACATAAGTATAGCCTCGACCCCACCTTAAAACGGTAGTCGGGCCAAAACCGGTTTGGCTCAGTGGATAGAGTGTGGCCTGCGGACTGAAAGGTCCCAGGTTCGATTCCGGTCAAGGGCATGTACCTGGGTTGTGGGCACATCCCCAGTGGGAGATGTGCAGGAGGCAGCAGATCAGTGTTTCTCTCTCATCAATGTTTCTAACTCTCTATCTCTCTCCCTTCCTCTCTGTAAAAAATCAATAAAATATATTTTTTTAAAAAAACAGTAGTCGGGTACCATTGATTAGTAGTAACATCTTGGTACATGATAGGTTGTTCTACCGGGACCTCCTTTTTATGTCCCAATGTGTTTTAGCAGCTGACACTGCATCTGTATTCAAATTTAAAAATTTGACCTCAGGTTTTTCTTTATGTGCTAATAAGATATCATCCATGTAATGGTGACAAATGCCTGTAGCAAACATCTGCCTTAGTATTTGTAAAGGTTGATGAACATAAGCTTGACACATAGTAGGACTATTTAAGGTTGGCTGTTATTTAATGAAGGGACCGTAAAAGCAAATTTGTCACAATCCTGAGGTTGTAAAGGGATTGTATAAAAATAGTCTTTTAAATCAATAATTATCAGATGCCAATTTTTAGGAATTAATGCTGGATTTGGAATTCCAGGTTGTAAAGTTCCCATAGGCTCAATAATCTCATTAATCTGTCTTAAATCAGTAAGCATCCTCCATTTACCTGATTTTTTCTTTATAACAAAGACAGGGGAATTCCATGGACTAGAGCTAGTTTCTATATGCCCTAGTTGTATCTGTTCTTTAATAATGATTTGAAGCGCTTCTAACTTCTCTCTTGTTAGGGGCCACTGCTCTACCTATACTGGTTTAGTTGCTTTCCATTTTAATGGTAGGGCGAAGCGCTTTGGAGTGGCCCCCTTTATAAATTTTGGTCCTGAACACTGGTGCCAGCTTGAAAAATCATTTGTCTATGGCCTTTCTGTAGAGAAGGTATAGTAATTGTAGCCCCCCATTGTTGTAAAAGATCTTTTCCCCACAAAGATAGTGCAATGGAGGCGACATATGGCTGAATTTGGCCCTTTTGTCCTTCAGGCCCCTGACATTCAAGTTTATTAGAGCTTTGTAAAATTTCAGTGAGGGTCCCTAAACCTGTAAAGGTTGCATTTATCTTGTGTACCGGCCAAGGTTGAGGCCAGTGCAAAGTAGAAACTATAGTTACATCAGCTCCAGAATCTACCAGGCCGGTAATTTTTATTCCCTCCGGGAATA